CAGGTTTTTTCAATTATATTTTACTTCTTGTTTTCTTGTCTGCTATTGTGTGAAAATCCCACTGTAAGTTGACACAGAAACACTAGAAAGTTTCGGTATGTTTTTCAAAGTTTTTTTTCATTTTCGATTTCTGAAAAAATGAAATTTGCTAGAGAATTTTGATACTGAAGCACGCATCTGTTTTTTTTTTTTGTCTTAATTTCTACGAGATTGGAAAGGTGTCGTGCAATGTTGTTAGCTTATAATAATTTAATTTTTTTAAGCTTGTGCAACATTTCTGAACTTAATCAATTCATCTTCTGCACTCTAGCCTTTTAGAAGTTTATTTGTGTAAATTCTAGCTGACCATATTCAATCCTCAGTTATCAATGTATCAGTGCAGCAGTCGTTTCTGAAAGACTTGATTGGAGTTTAATTGATATAAGCAAAATTGAATTAATTGAATAAACTCGTTAAAAAACCTAACAAATAGCACACATTTTCTATGTTTTTCCTTTTCTTCTTTCAGAAAACTTTGATTCAGTTAATGGATCACTTAAGAAGCGTTACGCAGTCAGATTCTTATAACGGAATAGCAGCATCTCGTTTAACGTCAATATTTGGTTGTCTAATATTTTGCTCTTGTGATGTTCGGATAGAACATCCGCCGTCTGGTACGTTTTCAAAGGATGCTATTAATCCATTGGATCCTGATCAGGCAACAAGAACATTAGGAATGCTTCTAGACAATTGGCCTCCTCGTGGTTGGTTTCAGTTTTACGAGTTCATATTAGCATTAGCATTCATTGACTATAATACAGGCAGTAATCACGAGCATATCGGTTGAAAAGCTTTATTCAAAGTGAGAACAGATAAATTTGGACACTATAAAGAAAGTATCATTCATCTCTTATGGTTCAGGTGGAAGCGATAGTAGTGGCGGTTCAGACAGCGTGGAAGCATCAGCACCAAATCCGGTCTCAGAATCTCAGTGCTGAATTCTTCTAAGCAAAAATTTTAGAAAATAAATTTAATTTAAAGTACATTTCTTCTTCTTCTTCCCCTCCTTCTCCACCTCCTCCTCCTCATCGTCATCATCATCATCATCCTCCATGTAACTGCCTGTTTCTACTTTTGATCCATTCGACTGCCAATTAACCGGTCAAAAACTTATTAACTCATCAATTATGCTATAACCTCAATCGCCTTCCTAGTACTTTTTTAAATTGTTTAATATTAAGAAAATTTTTTGTTTGTTACTGGCTGTTTCAGTAACAGTGATCTCATTGTTATAACTAGTCTTGTTGAATGTTTTTTTTTGTCTTATCTTTTTTATCCGTCTATTAATTGATTGATTGACATTACCAGTAATAACTTTGGTTATTAGTTCAAATTAAGAGGAGAAAAAACAAACGAGGGAATAAAGGAATAAGTAAACAAAAGCTATAAAGTGAACAATAGTTTTTTTTTTCAAATTTAATTTTGGAATTAAATTTGTAGCAGTGAATAGGAATTTGTTCTGTTTGTTTCTGTTTTTCTTCTGCTGTTTATCACTAACTGATGTGCAACAGACTAGGTGGATAATTTTTTTAATTTTTTTTCTTATTGTTAAATTTATCGTTTGACTAAACAGAAAAAAAAGAGAACCAGAAGCGGAAAAAAAGAGCATCTAAGCGGCTATTACTGCGACGGACTTCGGTGGTATTCTAATTGTTTTAGTGAGCTTTCAAGAACGATTATTTTACAGATCAAAATTGCTAAAAGAGAAAAATTTTTTTTTTGCTCTTATTGACATTGGATAATACAGTTGTATAAAAATGCCTTTCTTGTTTCATAACAGTTCATAAAATTGTTCATCTCGATTAACCCACCGTTTCTTCCATCTCCGTATTTTCATCCCTACAAATCACCGCTATCTTTCTTTTTTTTTAGGTCCACCGATTTGAAGTAGTCAATAATAAATTATTTATTCTTGCTCTGACCACCTGTAACAATATTCGTCCATTTGCTACAAGAAATGAATGAAAGAAATACCAAGAATAGTATTAATTAGATTAATAATAATGATTCATTTGTGGAATAAAAGTACACATAATAAAACTAAATATTGTTTCAAATTACATCTGACTACACGTATAACAAAAGTCGTGTTCACCGGAATACTGTGTAAAAGAGTAAATACTATAAAAGCGCCAAGGAAAAGCACGGTAACGAGTAAGAAATGTTAATTGAAAAAATGGAACTGTCGCTACGAAAAAAAAAAGTTCATTTGGTTGACATTTAGGCTTTAAAGGCCTGTAAACCGGTTATTGAACGTCCCAGGATTAATGCATGAATATCATGCGTACCCTCATAGGTGTTCACAGTTTCCAGGTTAACCATATGACGCATGACATGATACTCATCAACAATTCCATTTCCGCCAAGAATATCTCGAGCTTTACGTGCAGTATCCAGCGCTCTCAAACAGTTAATTCGTTTGATCATTGAAATTTGTTCCGGTATAACTCTGTAATGTAGGAGAAAAAAATCCTCTTCGAGAAAATTTTGTCAAACAAGAAGGTTACCGAAAAAATAAAAGCAAAGAAAAAAGAATTTAAAAATAACAGTGCTTACTTCTTCTCATCTTTCAATCGTGTTACCCGTAAACAGGCCTGTAAACCCAATGTTATGTCGGTAAGCATGTCCGCAAATTTCAGCTGTATTAACTGGTTTTTCGCAAGTGGTCTACCAAACTGTGGTCTAAAAATGCTGATCATTCATAACAATTTGCAGTTCGACATAAAGTAAAAATAGAGGATATCGATTTAAATCTTTTTGTACATATGAATAATGCAATCTTTTACTTTTTCAACACCTGTTTGCTTACTCCTCAAAAAAAGAGAGAGTTGGAAAGAAAGAAAGAAGGAAGAAGAAGAAGACAAAAACCACTTACATTTAAATGATATTCAAATGCTGTAAATCTACCAATTAATATTAAGCAATTTCTGTAAACTTTAAACTTTCTTAGCACTAGCCGTGTGACACAGAATTACAGGAAGGGTCAAAGGAGAACAGGATGAAGAAAGATGCTTGCTCGCTTCCATAAAAAGAACAAATAAAAACAGGCGTCAAAATTCAATCAAATATGTTTATAACCGATGATCAACAAACGGTCAATGTTTTTCAAATAAAATAAAAAATTTGTTGCTAAGGCAACAAAACAACAGAAACAAATTGTTCAAGAAAAATATGCATTTTGGCTTGTGCAATATAAAGGTTTACTCTAAATTTTTGTCGTCATCAGTTTTTAATTTCTTTTCTTTCTTTTTAATGCCGTTTAAGCAGCGGATTTTAATTGTTTTAATCACTGAACTGTACTGCTGCTATTTTTATTCAGTCTATAGCCAGTCTGTATCACTGACAGATTATGTAACACCAGAAAACTGCAGCAACAGCCAATTTTATAATACACATCGACTTCAGTGTATCAGTTGTAAAAATGGTACTGTTGCCAGTCCTGATCGACTTGGCTGCATTTGTCCACATGGTTATTTACAAACATCTGCAGGATGTGAACAGTGCCTCTCTGGTAGTGTTATTAATGTTTTCTACAGTTTTCTGCCCAAAAAGAGAAACAATAACCCCCCCAAAAAAAACAATAAAAAAGTATGTCATAAAAAAGCAGTATGGCTCCACAAAGTTATATGCTAAAAAAATCTAGCTTTTTTTCGTTTCAGGACGATACATAACCGATGACAATTTATATTGTGTAAACTATAAGAATTGCAATGTATCTGCTCAACAATATGACACTACCTATTGCTCTAAATGCTCAGAAGATTCAATTAAAATTTACAATTTATCACCGGAAAATAAACCACTTGAAATTGAATGTGCTGCTTGTCCGAGTGGTTATAAACCTTCTGCTGAGAAGACCTATTGCATTCCATGTACAATAGAAGATCTGCATGCTTGTGGATGTCAGGTAAAATTAAAAAACTGATTAATTTCAAAAGCATTTTTTTGATGTATCTGTAAGAAAGATGACAAAAAAGGACTATTTTTTTTAGCAGACTGACTGTAATTTTGATGATATTTTGGATTCGGATAGTTTATTTCAAATACAATTAGAAAACGGCCAACAAATTGAGTCACCATATTTACGTAGAAATGTTCGACTGGCAGAAAGTCAGTGTAATTCGGGAAATATTGAAGCCTGTCAACATCTGGCAAATATGTGTGTTCTTCAAAACTACAAAAGAGAAGGAGTGACTGCTTGTACGCTGTTTGAAACAATCTATAACAGGGATCACGCTAGGCATCCGTAAGTCACAATTTGAAAATAGAACTTTTTAAATTCTACTGATTGCTACTGCTCTACAGTAATGTTTTGCTAATAAGTGCTTTTTGAAGAAGAAGAAGAAGAAGAAGATTTCGACATTTCAGCGTTATTATTTATTTAAAAAAGTTTAGTGGTTCTAATGTTCCATGGTTGTTTTACTACAATACCGAAACAACCATTGAACTGTCGAGAAGAAGCGCAATCAATGGAATATTCACATTTGAAGCAAATTCGCCAAACTCAAAAATGAACATACTGCTGATGGAATATGCAATTAATGGAAAATTTCTAGGCTTCAAGTATTTGGACAATAATGATGTACTAATCTGCCGGCATATCAGACAACCGTTTAGATTTGGTGCAAAAATTCTTCTTACTTGTCAAGTATCATTAAAACATTATGCAGCTAGAATGACCAACAATTTCTATGACTTCTACTTGCTGTTCGAAAATAAAGATGGCAAGAAAAAGATGTATGCATTGCCACTGGTCAACGAAGACATACAACAGACTGGAGTCTACGTTAACCGGCTCCCAGAAGCAGAGATGGCACGATGGGTTCTCAGCAGACGACTTTACTTTTTCGACAACACCTCGATGCTTCAAGAGAACGTCAACACCTCAAATATAATTTACAGAATTTGTGACAAGCTTGAAATAGAAGTTCAACTCCAGGTAAAACTGACTGCTAACATCTTCATTAAATCTTTTCACAAAAGAAAAAAAAAGAGCAGGAAAAAGGAAAGGAAAAGTAATGATTCTGATCGCCAAATTTGGAATAAGAAGTATTTATATAATGGAACGCTGAAGATAGAAAGATGATGACTCCACCGAAGACTTTCATTTGTTTTTGGTCAATCTTTCACATCTTTCCAAAAGTTAAAATACTATTAGAAACTAATTCTGAATTAAAAAAGGGAGCCAAACTTACTTTCAAGAAATTAGATAGCCTAAAAGTTGGACTAAAATGAAATGCAAACAAGGTAACAAAATCTTATTAAACACGGTTAAATTTTAGAGATTGTAAATTTGTTGAATTCAGACAAACTTTTATTACTTTTCAAATCTTTTGAAAAATTGTGTCACAGGAGGCTTGTTAATACATCGAGAACAGGGATCTTTGACGTTTCTGATGGCATAAAATATTGTTTGAAAAAAGACCTGTTAAAAAAGATTTATGCATACATTTCAAATTTTGTAATGATTTTTTATATCTCGCCTGACCATTTAATTTGTTAGAAAAATTTTGACAACCAGATGACAATGCCTGTAAAAAGATACCTAGATTAGGAAAGTTCGGAGTCGTTCATATTTGTCAAAGTTTGACTTCAGAACTATTTCATCTGTAAAGCTAAGCTCTGGGAATACCTAAATCTGTGATAATTTTTACTGAAACACAGGCTGGAAGACGGTAGGCAACTAAGCACAAATTTGGTTGAAAATGTTGTAAAAACTGTACATAAAATAATTTTAGAAGGCTAAGGAGGGAAAAATTATGCCACCTTACATAAAAATTCGTCACCGAGAAATTCGAGACGCGATGGACGCAGGAATCACTGTAAAATTTAGCATAAACTATTTCTTAGACGCTAGTAGGCACGACAGTAGACTTCAGATCACTGTAGCGGTACTTGGAGCACTTTCGGTAGTATGGGCAATAGTTTTAACTTACAGGTAAATTTAGTGGTCAAAGTGGAAAAGAAAAAAGTGCTCAAGTTTAGAACCAAACCTCATTGTTTTTTGCTCTTCTAAATTACTTGGCAAAGAAATTTTCAGTTGGGGTAGACGAGCCGGAAAAGTTGTGGCGGATTTTAGTGTTGTATTAAGGTTATTGCTTTTCGAATGTGATACACTAGCTGACTTCTTTTTCGTCGTTCTCTTTCCGATGAGTGTCGTCATTACGTTTGGTTATAAAGCTCAGAAGTTGCCTTATTTTGCATCATTATCAGACGATCAAGTAAGTGGTTTACAATTAAACATTCATTTTTTGAAACTTTAACGGGAATTACTGGCTTTCTTGCTACATCTGTGCCAATGACTAGAGAGAGCAAAAGAAATGAAGAAAAAGAGAGCGTTGGCAAAAAAAAAAGATGCTTTGAAAGAAAGAACTTATTTTTCAGGAATGGACTTTTATGGCGTACTTATTAGCAACACTAATTCTGAAATTTATTGGTTTACTTCACCGCATCATGCATATGGTATTGACTAAGACCTTCTTCATCGATTGGGAACGTCCGACGGTGACTTTCGCCAACAGCAACAGCAGTAACAACAACATTGTGCAACAACCACCGTCACGTGATCTAAGCACCAATACAACTAAAACTGAACCAGTGATTTGGTAGAATATTTTGAGGCTTTTTTTACATAATCTCTCTAGTACTTCTGAAAACAGGAATCTTTTATGGAATTATACAGGTGAACAACACGGGTATTTCTTCAGGAGAACATATCTGGTGGCAAATGAATGGAATGAACTTCATAGCTACCGGAAGACAAATACAGCACTTCAGCTACTAGTAACACTTGCCGCGCTGCAATGGCTGAATCTTCATAAACTGGCGGTTATTAAGCCTGGATTTTCGTTAGGTAAATTGCTCTCTAGTTTAGGCAAATTTAGATCATTTCGACGATTGTCAAGGGCTGTATAGCTCAGAACGCAAGTTTACAGTAAAACTAATGGCCGATCACGAATCAGTAACTTCAGTAGCCGGAAAATAGCAGTACTTTCAAGTTTAAGAAACATATTTCGAGTTAGCAAGAGGATCATTGCTGTTGGTGGTGATGATTATGTGAACATGTGTAATGGGATTACTAAATGGTCAGCAAGCTTATCAGTATGAGGCAACTGGTTTGCAGAAGAACGAGTTGGAGATGTAGAAAGTTGGTTAAGTCGATTTGCTGTCGACTGTGCGATATATTTCGTGATCGGTATGGTGCAGTGGATATTCCATGTCGTAGTTTTTGAACGAATTTTTTCTGATCCGTTTCATAACATGATCGATCTTTGTTCGATTGCGAATATTAGCGTCCTAGCATTAACACATCCGTTATACGGCTATTATATACATGGTAAATCTGTACATGGTCGTGCAGATACGGGAATTGCTGAGATGAACAGATGCTTGCAGAAAGAAAGGGTAACAAAAAAATAAATTTATTTTTAATAAAACTTTTCAGATCTTTTTTATTTCCTTTTTCTTTTTATTTTTATTCTTTTGGCAAGTAAGAAAAAGACTGAATAAACTGAAATTAAAACTGTTTGTGTGTAAGGGACGGTTTTTTTTTTAAGGATAATTTATGTGGTGAACGTGGCCTTGAAGCTGGTAGTGAATTGCAAACATTTGTTATAACACTTTCCAAACAAATTCGAAGTAAAATGAATGGAATTGTTGAAAAAATGCCGATTAATCAACATAACGAACTCCGATTAACGGGCATTGAAGCAACGACAGCGAAGATGGAGAATGTTGCAACTGTATGTGCTGAGATTAACTTACTCAGTTGTTTTTTTTTTTTTTTTTCGTTTTATTTTTCACCGTCCGTAAATTCCTGAAGAGCAGCAAAAAAAAAGTGTTAATGAAGGGGAAAACAAAGAAAATAATCAACATATGATGGCTGTCAATGAAATTCCTTTCTTTTCCCTTTTTTTTTTATTTTTTTTTTGACGAACAAGCAGTGACTGGAAAAATTTTACGACAGTTTAAATATTTTCAACAATTAATAAAGAATTCAAATGACAGCGGATGGAAGACAAATATTAGTGTCGTAAAGCAAATATGTATCAGTTTTTGGCTTATCAAACCTTGTGTACAAGACGCCAATAGCACTGATTTTATTCTTTTTTCTTTTTCGTAGTCACCTATCTTCTACCTTACTTCTTCGCTCCCTCTTGAAGGAAAAAAAAAAAAGAACCCACATTTAAGTCCCCTACACCTTAAGAGTAATGTAAAGAAATCGTGTGAAAAAGAATTATTTAGTAATTGACAAGTTTTTGGTGACAGTTGAAAACTCTGCGAGAGCAGTGCCTCTCCCAACTTTTTTCTCTCTCTTTTTCCCTACAAAACAATATTGTCACTATCTTCACCGTACTTCTGGATGGGTATGTGGGCATTCTTCATGACGACACCAGCATAACAACGCATTTGCATTTAGTTCGGCGTCTCACTATGGTAAATTTTACCATATTAGTTGCGTTTGTTTTACAAAAAAACTCTTTTTTAGCTTTCCATAGCTGTCTGGGTCCATTGGAATTTGCGTGTTTAGCATACCGCTTTTCATCATGACATTTTGCTGTCTGTGTGTGTGCATGACTATTTTCATTGGAACTGCGGAACTGCTGGTGTCCACATATACATAGAGCGGTTGGCTTTGGAAAAAGCATAGCAAGCCATATCATAGTTTTTTGGTTTACTCTCCTTCCTCTCCGTGTCTTCCCGTCTTCCCTCTGCCTCCTTTACTCCTTAGACCTTCGCGAGCTCTTAGATGTATCATACGTATGTGAACAAGGTTGAACAGCTCAATTGCAACTGCCGTTGCTGCGGTTACTGCGCTAGAACTCTGTCGCTGCGACCGCTGCCCAGTTTTCTTGTTGCAGTAGTCATTCTTGCTGTGGCTGCTGCAGCAGAAGCTATTGCTGCTGCCGTCGTATCAACAGCGATAAAATGAGCGCTCTGTATGAGGGAGTACAAAGAGTGGCGATGAAAAAGGACTTGATAGGACCTCCCAGCGAAACTAAGTTAGTTGCGGGCTGCCAAGATGTGCGACGTAAACGTTATACGTTAGATGTATGTTTTATGACGGCTCCGCCTTCTGCTGTGGCAGCCAACAAAGTGCCTGCAAAGAGAACGATTGAAACAGGCACAATATATTTAGCAAAAAGATTTGTTGAACTTCATATCGGTTTTCAACAAAGCAGCGGCGGTTTGTGCTGCTGATATGAACGTCGTTGTCATCTCCCACAACCGTTGTCGCTCTTTTCGTGCGTGAATTACGCTTCCGCCAGGTTAGTGTGTGTTTTATGGTGGTATTCTAATAAACACCACCAATAGCGGTTGTGGGAGGATGAAGACTGTTATCGTTCAACAGTTTATTTGAATGTAATGCCTTACTGTTGCCCAAAATTTTTTTCTTTTTTATTCTCAACTAATCATCAGTTATGATGAAGCCGTATTTATTCTGATTACATTGGAGGAGACTTTTTTTCACTTTCTGTTGTTTCTATTGTTGAAGAGGTTCTGTTTCCCTTTCTCCCTTACTTTTTTTTCCTTCTTCTACGGCAAATATTACTAAACCGACCAGCAGCCAAATTTCGCTCGACGAAACTTCGTCAAACCGCATTAGGTACCGTCCGGATTTGGTAGTTTGAGGTGCATAATTTTGAAGAATTTTTCTGTACACTGGACCGCCGAAATTGAAGAATTTTAGATGGTCTAATAAGTTCAAGTATAAACTTTAGGGACGTTTAGGTGGATTCAGTGGTGTCAATTTAGAAATCTCATTTCAAACTGGAAAATTGAATTTAGGTACATTTGGAGCTGAATCGTTTCCTGATAGACTTTATCGACCATAGCAATTTGAACGGCGACTATTCCATCCGTGATATATCCTTTTTGGAATCAGTATTGGATTTGGATTTTGGAGATGTAACAAACAATAGTACACTAGCTCGGTTAGTAAATTCCGTAACTTAATCAGACTCTCTTCTTGATTTCTCTTCCAGTAGAATAGTTGGAAATTTTTAAGAATAAAAATTAGTTAAAAGTCTTGAATTAATGGCAGTTGCGGTAGAGAGAGAAGGCGAATTAAAGGATTAAAAGATGGAGGAGAAGAGCAAGAAAATGAGTAGGAAGTTTTTAGAAGAAGGCATTGAAATGAGTCATAAATTATAGAAAAATTAATGATTAACAGTTTTTTTTAGAAAAAAAATCTGAGGAGAAAGTATTTTTAGTGACAAATCTGAATTTGGTTTTACCAGAACGTTTATGTACGGGAACGAGTGGATATTTCTGTCATTTGAGATGCTGCTGTTCTGCACTGTTGATGTATTGACTAAAAGCTCAGTGTTGGCTGCACTGGTAACCTATGGTGCGTCAAAAGTGTTGCAACGAATTACTGCAATGTTATTCACCAATAATTTGGTAAAAAGCAGCTTTGTTGATCATCGATTCATGATTTGACTAATTTTTTCCTTCCCATCGTCTTGTCTGTCAATCAGATGCTGCTTATGCCAAGATGTTTGGACTGAATGATATATCATTACGCATTGCAACGCCATTGTTTCTTTCCTGAATTCTCCGGAAGATTCTTGTTTTCTGCATTCCTGTCTTTTGTCAGCCGTCAAAGTGCAATTTCGACACTGAGTACATGTGAATCCAGTTAAAGTTGGCAATTTACCAGTGGTTTGTCAACACTACAGTCACCTTAATTTGTGCGTAACTTTTATTCCTTATCTTTCGCTTTTTCCCCTACTCTCCTCCTATCTCCCATGTTCTTCATTATTTCAAGGTTTGCACTCCTCTAAGCCAGTGAACAGTCTTTCAGAAATGAGTGCCCTGTCTAAGTACCAATACTGAAGGGGAAAAGAGAACGAAATTATGCGGAACGATTATATTGTTGGCGAGACTTTAATAGGTGTTAACTCAATTTTTCAGATTTTTGTTGGGTGGTAGAGCGACAACAATAGAAAAGAATTTCAGGAATATGAAAACTGGGTTATGCGGATTGGAAAAAAGGAACAATTGACGTTTTGAAATATCATGTTCAGCGCGTCAGCATTATGTCCCGTTAACAGCTTGACAACATCGATGTGCCCGTTCCCAGGTGCGATCTGTACTGGTCAATTTTATTCTTAGTGCTTTTTAAGCACAAGTTGTCACGAGAAATTTTCCCCACAAACACAGCATTTCAATTCAGTAATTTGGGTAATTGAAATGCTGTGTTTGTGAGCAAAATTTTTCGTGACAACTTGTGCTTAAGAAGCACTAAGGGTAAAGTTGGCCGGTACGGGCTGCATCCCGGAACGGGCATGTCGGTGTGGTTGAGCTGTTAATAGGACTTGATGTGGACAGTGGCTTGTTGATGGTATTTCAGCGGTTTTGGAATTACCGTTATATTCATTTATTTATTTTTTCTTTCTAGACCTATAAAGTTATTTAGTTGACGAGACGTTTAACCTATAAAGTTGACGAGACGGGTTAGGAATAATTCACTGAAACTTTAGAGGCCATCGTTTTTGTTCCTTGTTTTTATTTGTAATCAGTATTGAGCACATTTGAAGAGGACAGCAGCTACCTGTACAGTAGTACTCAGTGGCTAAGAGGATGTAAATCGCTACTGACTGATGATTTTCGTTTTGAAACGAACGTTTTGTTTTTTATTCCGTTTATAAGTGGTTACGTTCATAATAACTGTTATACCTCATTTGATGGAAATAACATTAGTTTATATCACTTCAGGTTTCTTTTATGTAATAGTATTTTTGAATGTACAAAACGGAGTAAAACAGTTTCTCGTGCACTGTTTGCAGCATGTTGCATTAGTTAAAGTAGCAGACCGGTCAAGATGGCAAAATAGAAAAGTCTTATCGTTACTAAAGGAGGTTTAAGGATAACAGTGTTATTGAATTAGGAAACAGAAGAGTTGGAAGGGGACGACAAGATGATGATCATCAGGTGTTTGTAATATTACTTAGCAAAATTACTCCCTTTTTTTCCCGAAGACCGTGATGCAAAGAGAATGATCTGAAGGTTAGTACCGCTAGAAGGTCAGCACTAGTCAAGTTGATGGCAGACTTACCTGTCGATGGCGTATTGTCTGGATATATGGAAACATTCTTCCGCAGAACCTAACACTCCCCAAGCTATTCCAAGTCTGGCATTGTTCAAGCAGTCAAATGGGCCGGCAAGACCTTTTATTTTTGGCAGCAAGTTTTCTTCTGGCACTTCAACTTCATCCATGGCAATTTGGCCGGTAATGCTTGTTCGAAGTGATAGTTTTCCTTCAATTTTTGGTGCAGTTAAACCTGGCATACCTTTCTCCAAAATAAATCCCTAGAAGGAGTCGGCAATTCATAGGAAACAGAAGTGGTTTCTACATTACTAATAATGAAGTAAATAAGAAACGTTTAAAAAATTTGTAAACTTTTGAGGCTAACCATGATTTCATTGTTATGACGTTCGCTTCTAGCCCATACAATAAAAATATCGGCAACGGGCGAATTACTTATCCATGATTTTGTTCCAGACAGCAGGTAAGCTTTCTTGACCGGATCCCATTTAGCTTTTGTCTCCATACCAGCAGGATTAGAACCGTGATTTGGTTCCGTCAGGCCAAAGCAACCAATTTTTTCACCAGCGGCAAGACTTGGAATATACTTCTCCTTTTGCGCTTCGGTGCCGAATCTGTGAATTGGAGATATTACCAAACTTGTCTGGACGCTAAATGATGATCTGTAGCCGCTGTCAATACGTTCAATTTCTCGCGCAATCAATCCGTAACCAACAAACGACGTTCCGGCACACCCATATCCTTCGTAAGGTGCTCCCAAAAGCCCCATTTTACCCATTTCGGGTATTACTGCTGGATCAAACTTTTCACTTCGGAATGCTTCTACAACTCTTGGGAGCAACTTGTCTTTGCAATACTCTCTGGTGCTGTCCATTAAGCCACGTTCTTCTTCAGTTAGCTGTGATCTTAAATCGAATGCATCTTGCCAGTTGAACGATGAGGCTCCTAAATGAAAAAAGTTTTGAAAGAAACTGAACTTCTTCAAATAAGACAGACTTGTGTATCGATGAATGTACAAAAGAGAGTTATACCTCTAGAAGGTATTACAGCAGCTTTTGATGTCTTTTCAGTTAAAACAAATCGGAGAGCTGTTCTGAATATCGTGGACATTGAGAAATCCGAGTTATTGAATAAACTGAATAAAGCTATATCAATGAGACGATCAAGGACTGATTTCAAAAAAATAGTCTCGTAAGACGGTACCAACAAATTAAATTTTGCGAATTTATCCTATCAGCGTGAAAGTAAAAAAATTATACAGAAGTAGACCACTGTAATTGAATCTAGATAATTAGGTTTGTGGATGCAGTACAGGAATTTCGCAGGAAAGTTTTCACTGATCAAAATTAGGAAAAAACTGTATAGAGGTAGGAGACGACATTCAGTTGGTGTGTAGAAACTGTGTAACCGTTTGACATCCAAAAAGTGGGCACGTATTAACAGCACTGCCGGTTGACGGTTAAAATTCCTTTCGACGTACCGACGTACAGTTTCAGTCGCTGATCGTTGGCGTCGACCAATCACTATCTAACCAACTGTTACGTTTGCAGAGTTCTGTTTCAACCCTTCCGGATAAATTTCATTTTTAAACTATTCGTATTCACCCTACACCGTCAGTTTTGTTTAAAAGAAGAAAGGACTGGAAAATTTTTTTTGGCCAATTCTGTGACCCTGACTAAGTATGGACTTTAATGATTATTTTTCCTTGTCAGCTCCAATAAAGATACGAAAAAATTTGCAGACAGTATTCTAAGTTCTTTTTGCTAAAATACAAGTTGGTTTTATTTTCTGGGCTACAACTCCTGGCAAACTAAAACAAAAGTAAAAGCAAAAATGTAAAAAGTGGTTGGTTTAATAAAAAAAACAGTTTTTAGACTAACTTTTCTGTCCATATTTTTATCTATTCATTTATTTTTTAGTTTTTTATGTCTTAAATGTTCGACTGTTTTTCCGAATTTCTCATCTTTTCCAGTCAGCAACAGTTTGTTTAATGAGGAAGAAGTTGTAAACGTTGTTTTTATTTACGAAAAATACCAAATACCCGAGCAGAAAAAGAAGAGAAAACAAGTCTTTAAAAATGATGTAAAGTAAAATTGATTGTCTGTTTCCTTGTTAACTCTGTGTTTTGTTAAGTGTACGTCAACAAGAAAACTGTGGAGCAAAACTGTTCGGCTTTTTTTTTTTTTCACTGGGGAACAGTTTTGTTCCTATTTTTGGCCATTGCAGTAATCTGTTTTGTTCAAAAGTAGTATTTCTATACTTATAATATTTAGCATAAGGTATTTTTTTTTCTTTTTTTTTTTTCTTTTTTCGAGGATAAGAATGGTGAATGGGTTTAAGGGTTTGGAGTTACAGGGATAAGGAGTTGGGAGTGGAAAGCAACAGAAATAATGTGGAAGAAAGTTCAAAAGGTGAAAACTTCTTTTATAGGTAACTAATTATCTATTATTTTGGTTTTATAAACAGTTTCTCATCAAAAAAAAATTATTTCTAACAAAAACCTCTTAGTTCCACTCATTTTTTGACAGCAGTTGTAATTTTCGCTCAGTGAAATTGCAGATTTTCGTGGAACACTTTTTTGTTTGATAGCAATCGATCTCTGGATTAATTTTCCTTCTTTGCAGTACTGTATCAACATTAATAATGACAAATACTGACAGTGAAGGCAATAGGTTTGATATGGTTAACAGAAAAAAGTTGAACAATGAAGTCTTAACAGCAAATCTTGTTATTTTTCTATGTGGAATAAATACTTGATACAGTTGGAAGAGAATCTTTGCAAAAATGTTTAACCCGCACTATACCCTCCCCGATTAATTCTTCACAAACATCTCTGATGTATAATGTGCTTTTTTTCTGTCTTTTTTGTTTTGCTAACGTTTTAGGTGTGCTGTACGGCACTTGTTTTGTTAAGAGACTTATTTCGGCTAATATCTCATTTTTATTTAACCTTTAAATTTTAGGACTTCTTAGTGCTTTTTACACTCCTAATCTCTCTGGTTGTTACCGGAACAAAGAAATGAAAACTGTCTGAATACCTTACTCTTATATTCATTATGATATAATATAAAATTTAGTATTTAATACAGTCTTTTTATCTTTACAAACAGGATATTTTAACAGTGGTAAATTGTTTCCTCTTCCAATGCCTTTTCTGAACCTCTCCTCAACTTTCTTCCTATTCTTTCTTTCTCTCATTCACTCCTCCTTCCTACGCTCCTAAATTCATCTGTTTCAAGCAACTTTTAGAATAGTTCCAGATGCGTTTTGATAACGGAGCTTTAACCGATGGTCACAGAAGACATTTACTATTTATAAATTATTTTTTTCTTTTATTTACAATTTACTGGATGATGGCGTCGATGCTTGTTAAAAACTGTGGAAACAAGTGGACAACAAGTGCTATAGAAGCGACTAAATCAACAAAAATGCTTAGGCATTAGACTTTGTATATTTACAACAGAATTTTTTGAGCGTTTATTAAACAGTCTTATTTTGAACAATTATAGATTATTGATGTGAATTTGTTGGTTATTAGTGTTGTTCGGTATTTGCACTAAAAAGAATGGTTGTTTATTGTTCAATAAATGGTTGAATGATTAGTTACTGAAAATTTTCTAAATTTCCTCTTTGCTCTCCATGCTGCCCTCTCTTTTCATCAATTTAACTGAAAAAAAAACTGTTAGGTGATGACAAAGAACCCTTATGTACGGCTTGCTAACCAATTCCTTGGGAAAGAAATTGAGCAAATTTGTAATGTTAAAATTCTTCTCAAGAACCCCTGCCTTAACACGGTCGTTTTGAGACCTGGTAACCAGAATTTGCTGTTTTTTTTAGTAATCAAAACCGTATTTTTTTGCGTCATCCGATGACGAATAAAAATTTTATGAATGAACTGCAGTTGCAACATCGAAGTTGCTATTATACAATTAGGTATCGATAGATGCAAAAATACGTGCCTCACCATCTCACTTCTTTCTTCGTTTTTACTCTGCAGTTTTCTGTTGTAATCAGCATTTTTTGCCACGATGACACATTCCGACGTGGAAATACGTCTAACCTATATATATGAATATATATATATATATATATATATATATA